AAACCGTGGATTATGGCTCCAGCATGAACACTCTGCGGCCAGTCCCTCCCTGAACTCATGGGCAGCGGCTGCTGTTTTGTCTAGGCGGTGCGGTGCTGTTACCTGGAACTGTCAAGTCGCCAGAATCTCAGACTACAGAAGACACACGCACCGAAGAGTCACGAGCTCCCGGCAGTACTTAAAAACGGACTCGAACTCCCTCCTGTCAGAGGTTTGCCATGACAAAAAGCTGTCGTGTGCCCAGGCACAAGAAAGAAATGTGCCTCCTTACTGAGAAAAGCATGCCTGCTGAGAATGCCGTTGTCATCCGCATCCAAGAACAGAAAAGACTCATTGGCCGAAGGCTTCCTCGGCTAAGTTTGTGCTGGTCGCAGACGAAGTCTGATGACAAGATACACGAAAGCAGCTTGCAAAGCTGATAAACACTGCTCGACCGAAGAGCGTAAAATTGAAGGACGGCTTGTACGGGAACCACACAAGTCCCCACCTGCTTGTGCCAGCAACTAGCTAACTAGCTGCTAGCAGTGCATTAGTCCTGTGCGTATGCTAGGTGGCCTGGTCTTGTTCAAATCCCGACCCTGTGCCACGACGTCCTCAAGCAGAGATAAGAACTTCCAATGTCTCTGCGACACGACACAGCACGAGATTCCGGCCCAAGCTTGGCTGCTGTTGGCGAAATGTTTGTGCAACCATCTGCGTGCGCACACACACACACACAGAGACACTTGTAGGCGCAGCAACAACAACAAGCGACATCTTCGTATCAACAGGCCCCGGCACACAGTACGGAAACATGGCCAACTCCTGGTGTGGATGGGCACACTTCCACTCTACTGCCGAAGCGTCACACGAGGTCCAGGCTGTCGCAGCAAATCCAAAAGCAGTGGAGAATTCCGACTCGGAGATCAACTGGTCCTGGTCAAAAGCGAACATCTCGTGCCATATGTGCAGAAGTGACAGTGGACGGAACAACTCTTGAGGCTGAGATCCCCGCCTGCTTTTCCAGACGATCTATGTATGTGAAAGCATCCTGACACGACAAGAGCATGCCCAGGTCCTGGATTACTCACCTCACTGCTTTTGTACACAGCAAAGCTTTCCAGCAGCCAAGGTCTTGCGGCTCCCTTATTTGCAGCGCGACGCACGCTAGTTCCGATCATCATTTTCAAGCGCCTCGCTGGATGACCCCAGCGCTCCATCATCCCACCTCCAAGCCAGAAGTCCAAACATGTGCCCCCAAGCTGCAGCGGACAAGCCTTGACCAGGCCCGGGTCCAAGGTCGCAAATAAACTCCAACTTCCTGAGCGCTACCGGGAAAAGCTGCTGCACGTGCAAAAACATGATGATCCATTTTGGCATGCTGAGAGATGCACGTCCTCGAAAGTCGAAGTTACATTCTCAAAGATGTCGTGCCAAGCACCTAGACGATTGGCAATACGCTGGTGTCCGCGAAGCAGTCCGAGAAACTGCCTGTTGGAGTCTTGTACTTTGTCGATATCCATGCACTCCAGTTGAACACCAATTCGCGGGCCAGAAGGGGCTGGTACCTCGAGTCAAGCAACCTTTGTCTGGCACCTTGCGCTGCAAGGATTCTGCGTACACCAAATGTCGGCCCTGCCTCAGCTGCCGCTTGGTGGGTGGGTGGGAAGCAGCAGTCGTGCCCATCCACAACACACCACGAAGCAATGAAGAAACATGAGTTTACGCAATGCCTGGTGCTAGCTATGATCATGATAATGATCAAGTTTCGAGCACTATCAAAATTATGAAGTGATGCTGATTGACTACTCATCTTCGATCATGGTTGTGCACATGCGTACTTCATGGTATTTTGAACCACCCAGCACGCGCATCCAGTTTCGCAGTTGCAAGCCAAAACAACCCAAATTCCACAAATTTGCCTACGAGCACACACCCACGAAGGTTCCGTCGACAATCAATAAATGGATTCCATGCGAAGCACTCTGCAAACATGTTTCATTTGTTCTGGGTAAATGGTACAAATTCTACACTGTGTTCTGACATGTGTGCTGCGTTCGATACGCGCAGTCACTACATCCAGTTCCTTGCATTCCTCTGCCTCAATCAATGTCACAGCTGCAGTTAAGGCCTGGTGGATTATGTTGAATCGAGCTTGCCTGCGAAACACGTACAACAAAACACAAACCGCGTTGGGGATATGGACGACTTCATATGCAGCCACAATGCAACGAACTTTTCGCTCACTGCGGAAAAACTGAGGGCACTGAACCGCAAAACATTCCGGATGCCTGTGCTTTCGCTGATACGTGCCACATCCCACAATCGGTAACAAACATGTGCAAACACACTACACATCGACCTGCTCGGCCCAAACAGAAAATACGACTGACCTGCGACTTTGAATTCTGCGTCGTTTTTGAGCAACAAATGGAACCAATGGGCTGCAAACCTGGTCAACAATTTTCTCAATTTGACGACACGCGCAGCATCTTTTTTGGCTAGAATTGCAACCAAGCACCTTTGCGTCCCAGACCATGGAGGGCCGGCCGCCTGACACAGTCGAACAGCTGCAGAAATGGAGAACGCACCAGTTCTGGGCAAACCGGATTGCAACTGTGGGGTACTGTGATGCGTCCTTCGTTTTCGTGTTTTTTCGAACCCTTAAAATGGGCTTGCGTGATGTTGATTTTTGACTCTGGTGTTGTAGTCCAGGCCCTTGCTCAAGTCAGCTCCGTGCAGCCCACTTTGTGCCCAGACCCTGCGGCCCAGTTCCTGCGCTTGCAGCCGGCTGTATGCGTGCGGCGTAGTCCCTGTCCAGTCTTTGTTCCTCCTGCAAACACCAGTCCCTGCCCAGCTGGCCTGCAGCTCCAGCCATTGTCCAGTGCTTCCTGCGACTCTGGGCGAAGCAAGCAGCTTGCCCTGCCCAATCCGTGCCCAGCTGCTCAAACCCTGCAGCTCCAGGCAGCAACCACTGCTTCCTTACATCCCTGCCCCATACCTGCCAGCTGGTCAAAACCTGCAACTCTAGGCAGCGCCCAGTCAAACTGGCCCAGTTCCCTATGAGTAAAGCAGTAAAGGTCCATCTCTGCCCAATCTTGCAGCTCCAGTCCATTCCAACCCAATCTTCCCTGCCACAAATCCGTCCCTGTCCACTCTGGCAACCCAGTAGCTGTCCAAAAGAAGCCGAAGCTTTCAGACTGGACTGCAAGTTGCATCCCGTTTGACAGACGGGTGCCCCATACAACGCTACAAACCCGGATGATTGCGTCTTCTGGCTTGCTCACTTCCCCCTTCTTCCCGTTTGGTTAATAATATTATATTCCGCCAACGGGGTAAAGGGACGTAAACTCGGCTGTTATAGGGGAAAGCCAAAACACCAGGGACGTAGAGGGACGTGACAGCAAGGATACAGGCTTTTGTAACAGAAAACCACAAACACGCAGAGGGACGTAGGCACGGCTGCAGGGAGGTAAATGCGACCACTATGGGGGGAAAAGCCCAGACACCGAACGTTTCAGCAAGGATATAACCACAAACACGCAGGGGACGTAGGCCAAGGCTGCAGGGACGTACATGCGACCACCATAGGGGGAAAAGCCCAGACACCGAACCTTTCAGCAAGGATGCAAGGAAGTAAATTTGGTCTTTTTGGGACGTAGGGCAAGGGCTGCAGGGACGTAAAAGCGACAGCTACAGGGCGAAAACAGGAGACCAGGGACGCAGAGGGACCTAACAGTAAGGAGATGCAGGGAAGTTGGCTTCGAAAACCACAAACACGCAGAGGACGTAGGCCAAGGCTGCAGGGATATAAACGCGACCATTTTAAAGGAAAAGCCCAGACACCGGGACGTCGCGGGATGTCACAGCAAGGTTGCAGGGGGAGTACACGTAGGCTTTTATAGTAGGAACCACAAACACAAAGAGGGACGTGCCCATGTAGGCCAAGAGACGTAACATCGGACGCCAACCTGATTTGTAATTGCAGCGTCCGAAAAACCAGGAAAAACATGGGACGCTTCAGAGTACCCCTACAGTACACATATACAGACATCTCTATATATATATATATATACATATATATATATATATACATATACACACATATATTTACGCATGTACATATATATATATATACATATAGACATCCATATATATATATATATATATATACATAAACACACATATCTAAACATATATGAAAACATATGTGTACATATGTATAAATATGTGTGTATATATATATATAAATATACATATATATATATATACTTATATGTAGTCATAATATAAACATAGATATACTGCGCTTTTGCAACCCACTATGTTCAGTGGTTTTGCACGTTGTGTGTGGCTGTGGGATTCTGTGCAGTTGGTCGCTCGAGCGGTGCACATGGGTGCACGTCTTTGTTTCCAACTACAACATCAGCTCTGAGTTGAGACAAACCACGAGGTTTGTGTAAAAACACAGGATGGACCGGTGCTTGAGACAGTGACTTCCGCTCATTTTGGTTTGAAGGTACTGACTCAAGCCAGGTGCAATCACATGGATGCAAATGCAAAGTGAGCCCCTTCTGCTCCGCGGTTAAAAGTCCACGTAAAGAGTCGGCTTCGATTGTCATGGTGAAAAGGTCGCTGGTGGCAGTCTGGCAGTCTTCTTCCTTTTCAGAATCTTCACCTGTCTTGAGAGTCGTCCTGCTCACCACATGGTGAGAGAGTCCAGAGACGAGTCCGCTAACGACCATGAGTCACGGTCAGAGTTGTGAGACAACGCAAGGGAATGTCATAAAGAACAACCGACCACAGAACCAAAACATAAGAAAGAATCAGTACCGACATCCGATGCT